CGCGGGGCGGGGGGCGCCGCCGGCCTCGGCCTTGTGCGGGGGCACGTGGGGGGCCAGGGTCTTGCGTGGGCTGCTTTACTGCCTCTGCTTTTAGCTGAGCCTGCTTAAGGAGAAGGGGGCTGGTGCCCTTTCCTTCCTTCCTCTTTTCCCTTCCTTCCTTCCTTCCTTCCTCCCTCTCTTTTTCCCCTTTCATTACCAACGTCCAAATCTGGCTGGTCCCCTGGCTCTGTGCCAACCGCCTCTGCCCTGTCTGGGCTTTTTGCAAAGACCGCAGCTTTCTCTGAAGTGCCCGCTGCACCGCCCTCTGGACGCCACCTTCCCACGGAGATGGCCAAGAGGTCCGAGGGTCGTTTTGCTCAGGACGGGCTCTTCTGCCAAGGTCGTTCCCAATGGGGGACTCGCCTGGTGTTGGCATACAATGCTGTAGGAATAGGTCCTTCCCAGTGGTCAGCCTGCTCCATTGATGCCCCTAAGTTCGGAGCAGCGTCCCCCACCTCTTCCAGGAGCTCGTGGGCTTTGTGCACAAGCAGCTTGCAACTTCTGAGCCTCTTGGAGGCTTTTGGGTTGATGTCGTGACCTCCCCAGATCGCTCCCTCCTACCAGGAGATTGTCCTGTCCCTGTTTTAGTGTGTTGCAGAGGCCTGTGTTTCAGTGAGGGCAGTCCAGTGAGCCCCGAGGACCTCCTGCCTTCTACCACTTCTTTCCTTTTAGCTTTACCCCGTTCTTTTCCTGGCACAGAAGACTTGAGCTGCTTCTAACACAGTTTAGGCTTGTTGACTTTTCGCAGAGCCCATAATCTTAAAGTAAGTATTTGTGCAGTATGGCATAGCCTTAGCCTAACTTGTCCTGTGGGTCAACAGCCAGGGGGGCACCCATCCTAAAATTTATGCCTGCTTCCAACATTTCTTCTAGCTAAAGGCAATGTTAGGAAAAATTTGTAAGAAATTGTTTTAAGGAATGACTTCCTTAACGACTGAGGAGCATCCGCCTGTTTGTGGCAGCAAAACTCATACCCTGAATGATTCATATGTTGGCTTCTCACTCCCATCTCCTGTTGTTTTTCTACAGATTGCACACAAGGTAATTATTGGCTGGCTGTAAAACACTAATAACTAACATGTGGCTTTTTGGGGGGGGTTTTTCCACAGAGGGAGGAAGCGCTGAAACATCATGAAGAGTTATCTCAAGAGCTTGTTAACCTACGAGGAGAGCTGGGTAAGGATCCACTTTCCTAATTTTGGGGAAAAGAGGAATGCAGCAAAACAGGAGTTGAGAGAGACAGATATCATGGTATTGTGAAAACAGTCCTGAATTGCCTGGCTGATTTCTGTTCAAATGCTTAAGCAATGCATTTCTCTGGAGTCTTGACAGGATGACCCTGGGTTCACTGAATTCCTGGCGCTGATCTGGGTAAGCTGAGGATGGCCTCCCCAGGAAGCATGTATCTGATGACCAAAACATTCACTTTCTGTCTTATTGTCTGCATATTTATTCCTGTTTGATGCCTAAATTGTGAATTGTTTCTACAGAGACTTGCTGGCCAAGTCCATTAAACAAAGCTGCAAAACTTGGTATATAAATTGTGCTATATTTTCTTTCTTTTACGGACTTGTAGGCAAATAAGTGTAAAATTAACAGCAGGAAATGCAATCAGAGTAATAGCATTAAATGCTTAAATCATCCTGGGGGACAGCTATAATGCCGAAGACTAACTGTAAGGCAGAAGGGTTAGTTTGGCCAACTTTGAAGTTGAATTTAACAGGTTTTAATGGTGTCTTTTGGTCTTAATCTTAAAGTGGTATAATCCTGTAATAAACCTATTTTGAAATTAAAATGCAGTGGCAGGTGAGGCAAATGGGCTCTTATAGCTAGTTTTCATTGTGTTGAGACCCACTGTGGTAGTATTATTAGAACAGAATAACCTATGCTTTGGCGTTTCATACATGCCATTTATTATTGAAAAGCTAAAATCTTATTTTTATCATGACTTCGAAGTTGTGAATACTATTCCTGCCAAACTGAATGGTGTTTATAGGTCTGGTTACATGTAGCTGCGGCACTTAATTTTCAGCTTTATTTTACTGTAGTGATTGGTAAGGTGGGCATTTGCTGGCAGCCAGGAACAGAGTTACTTGAGCTTGGCTTTTATCGTGGTCCATTGAATCCTACAGCTAATTATCAAGAAAGCCTTTTTCTCTGTGTCAAATGTTTGCATCTAACTTTTAATTTTGTTATATTTTGTTTATGTATTACAAGTCGTAAGATTTAAATTTTTTGACAACAGCTTTCTTGCTTTGTATTGTGCAAAATTGAAAATGAAATGCCTGCTTTGCTTGGTATTTTTCATGCAATATAAGTAGGTAGGCCTGATAGTGCTGATGGTTTGATAAGGTGTGTGGATATTGGGTATTTTTATCTTTAAAATTTCCATTTTCACTTTTTGCATGGCATTTTAACATGAAGTTGCAGACTTATCAGCTATCGGAGTGAAAAACTTGATGTCTGTCTTTTTAAACTTTTTACTGATTAAATTGCTTAGTTTGGGACTGAGGCTTACACTTAAATACTGTCACGCAAAATGGGAAGCTTAATACTGGCATTTCAGCTTCATTCAAATGGTCGTCTGACAGTCTGCTTAATGTCTAGCAAAAAATATTTTATCCCCCCCACCTTGCCCTTTAATCTGTATAGTAGTTCATCCTTCTCTTGCCCTTCAGATTCACATACCGACTGACTTGGCAGTGGTCACCTGTTTAAGAGTGCCTGTTTAATAGGGGTGGTAAAATTAGCTTGGGCACAAGGCCCAAGAGGACCGAAAAGTAGCAAATTACATTTTGACCATCTTTGAGGTGTTTTAGTTCAAAAGCACACCACCATTTTCCCATCTTGTGTATTCAGCTGATTCAGCAAGATTTAGTTAAAGTGCCCCGCCACCATTTCGAAACATGGGGACGCTGAATACATGTGATGCTGAGGCTGAGCACCACTGTCCTAAAGTATTCATAAAGCAGGCTGTTCAATATGCTTACCTCTGGAAATGATTGAATCGTACTTTCCATGAAGCTTGCCTTAACAGGGTGTGAGGAGCCTTGGGTCCTGCTCCCTGAATCAGGTGCCTGGTCCCAGTGAGTAGAGCCAGGCAAGGGCAAGGCTAGGCCCCAAAAGGCCCAATCCCAGTGCTCAGGGGTAGGAGGGGTTAGCTCCTCAGGCCTGATCCCAGTGTACAGCAGTGGTGCTTGGCCCCACAGCCTGATCCTTGCAAGGGCAGGGAGGGGATGATGCCAGGCCTAAAGCCTAATTCTGGCACACGGGGCTTTGTCTGACCCATGGATTGACCCTGCTTTTCTCATCTGGCCCACGGGGCCAAAAGCTTGAGCACATCTGTTCTAATAATTCTACTGGCGGATACTAAACCACTGTGAGGCTTCTTAGATTACGCTCTGTTGAGCTTAACAAGCACACTTCTGGGTTCTGTTCTGTTTTTATCCTTTTTCCTGGGGTAATTCTTAGCCTAATTAATGTTTATAAACCCTTTAAAAATTTGGTATGCAGGTATGTATAGTGATCTTGTTGCTATGCTTATTGTAAGTTTGCATAGAATCTTCAGTGATTATATGTAGAAAATTATAGTTGGATGCTTCTCCTCTTTCTCCAGTTTTTTTGAAGGTTTTGGGAGCAGAAATTCAGCAGTCAAATATTTAACTTGAGCTCCTTTGCAACTCCCAGCCTGCAACCATAAACATTGAAAACTTTGGTCATAAATGTATTCATTTAGAGGTCCCAGAGTAGTTGTGTAAACCCTAGTTAGTTAACACCTTGCTTTTTCTCTAGTTTATCAGTACACAAGTGAAATACAGAAACTAGCTTTTTCTTCGCTTGCTAAACCAGTGGGAGCCAGCTTTTTTTAGCAGGTGTGTTGCCACTCAGCCCTGCATTCTCCATGTACTACTCTGATTACCTTCTATGCCTGATCTGGTGCGATGCTTTCTGCTCCTTGCCCTGATGCACCCTGTCTAGTTTGCTGCTCTTCTTTGTTTCCTGCCGTTCCTGATTTGCTGGATGCCAAACGTAGACTGCCTGTAACACTTCTAGCATGTGCCACAGGTTGAACTACCCCACACTGCAGAATGATGTATGATGGAACAAAGGTGTAATAAACAATTTTACACAGTTCGAAAAAGCATGCAGCACTTGGATAATCCAAACTTCTGTTTACCCTTTTGTCTGTCCCTGAATTAAATCTCATCCACTGCAATACTGTGACATAGAAAAATCCTTGTGAACTTCATTCACAAGGCTAATGCATACATACTTTGCTACTATCTGCTTTGAAGAAATTTGAATATTTTCTGCGCAGTGTGATGTCTTGAGTAGCAATTACATTCCTTAAAATTACTGTGGCAATTGTTTTGAACATGGCAAGTGCAGTATTTTGTGCTTTTCCTTATTGAATGCAGCATTCACTTTAAAATTTACTTTTCTAATTTGTTTTAACAAGCGACTATAAAAGGCATGTTTTTAGAAGATATTTTTCAGTTAATCATAAAAATAATTGGAAAAATAGGGTTGGAAGGGACCAGAAGAGGTCATCTAGGACAATCCCCTGCTCATGGTAGGTTCTTTTTTGTCTAAACCATCCAGCCTGGTGCTAGTCTAACTTGCTCTTAAACTTTCAGGGATGGTGATTTCACAACCTCTCTAGGTAATTTATTCTAGTACTTAACTGCCTTCATGGTAAGACAGTTTTTTCTTAATAATATACAACCTAATTTTCCCTCGTTGTAACTTCATAACATTGCTCCTTGTCCGCTTCTATGCAGCCACAGTGAATAGTCTGTAGTCCAGTGTTTCTCAACCAGTGTGCTGTGGCACAGAAGTGTGCCTCCAGAAATAAACAGGTGTGCCATGGAATTTTGCCATGGCAATGAGCTGCAATAAGTATCAGGATGGGGAATGCCTTAACAGGTGTGCAGCAGAAAAATGTTATTAATGTAAATGTGCCTCAGGCTGGAAAAGGTTGGGAAACACTGCTGTAGTCTGTCACCATTCTCTTTTGTAATGACTTTTTCTGGTATTGGGAGACTGTTATCAAATCCTTCCATCTCTTTTCTGGACTAAATAATTCCAGTTTCTCCAACTTTTCTTTGAAGTTGTGCTTCCTAAGCCGCTGATCATTTTTTGATCTCCTCTGGACTCTCTAATTTGCCCACATCATCTTCCTTGAAGGAGGATGCCCAAAACTTACCTAGTACTCCACATGAGGGCTTGCCAGAGTTGAGTAGAGTGGAAGAATCAGTTCTGTGACTTGTATGTAATGCTCCTGTTAACACATCCCAGTATGTTGGCTTTTTTTGCAACCCATGCTACTTGTGGTCCACTATAGCTCCTGGGTCCTTTTGATCATTCTGTTGTAAATGATTGAAGCATTTGATCATTCTGTTGTAAATGCAGTGCTTTGTACTTGACCTTACTGAATTTCATCCAGTTAACTTCAGGTCATTTCTCGAACTTATCAAGATCATTTTGAATCCTAGGTTTCTCTTCCAAAATGTCTGCTGTCCCACCCAGAATAGCATCAGCTGAAAATTTGTAAAGTTTCTCCCCTCTTATTAGAAAAAGGGCAGGGTACAAGACAGAAATCTGTTTTGTTAATGTGTACAGTACCTCTATTTAATTCTGCAAAGTACTCTTTAAAACAACCATCATTATGTGATGCCTAATTTATTGAAACTGCTTAAAAAAACCACTGTAAATTAATGTGAACTTTTGCTGACATGTTTAACATATGGACATGGCCAAGGTATGCTTAAATAGCTTTATTAGCTGTTGGTTTAAATGAGATTTTTTGTGGCTTCTAATTTGCCAGGCACTACAAACTAAGTTGGGGGGAGGCAGGGAGTTATCCCGTGCTGGGCAAAAGTGTACTGATAGGATTGCTGTTCAAGAGAGTGAAAGCCGTGAACTCCCGGTGTTGTGTTCTGACACCTCTACATTGAATATTTGCCTATTTACAAGGAGTCAAATCTGGTACTAGCCAGCCTGTCTCATCATGGATCCTGGTTTTCACTGATTAGATCCAAAAATTGGGGATCTTTTTTATCAGAGAAAACCAGGATCTCTGCTCATCGTAGCAGACCAGCCAAGAATATGAACTTCAGGTTTAATATTTTACTGCCAGTAGTCTTGTTATTAGCTCAGTAACAAAAGTAGCTTTAACTTATTTTGTAGTAAAAGGAGTGCTTTATACTGAAGTTTCTAAGCCTAAACAAGAAGTTTTTTTAAAATGCATGAAAAATGCAGTTATTTGACATTGAACCAAATATTTTAATATTTAATAATAATGTATTAATAATTTAATACTTTTTTAAATGAAAAAAGCTTCCAATAGATGTGAGGTGTCCCAAGTGAGGTAAAAATAAATCTTCCCAGAAAATAGAGAAAGTAAATAAGAGGCCCTATCACAAAACTTTTGATGTTAAATGCTTGCTATTTGTAATTAATCTGCACTCATCTTCCACAAAATACTGCTAAAATATTCTTCATTTCTTGTGCTGGTGTTCTGCATTTGGTTGCTGGTATCCTGCATTAAGGAGCTCTTTGTCATTACTATGATACAGTGAGAGGTGCTCAATCTGATGGGCCTTGCATAGATAAATACTTATAAATGATCTTTACAGTATCCTGGGGATAACTATTTTATTGTGTTTGAGTTAGTAAATTGGCCATTTTAACCCTTAATTAAATCCAGTTAATCTATTGTATTAAACCAGGGGTAGGCAATGTTTTTTGGCTAAAGTGCTGAAAAATACCACAGTGCCTACCTCGGAAGGTGCCGGAGTGCTGGCATAGCAGAAAAACAAAATGAGGGCAAGGGGTAAATCGCAGGATGCCCTGCTTGTGCCCCTGCCCCCCAGCCCGGGCTCTGCGGTTGCCAGCAGCTACACCGGTTCTGGGGCCTGTCTGTGAGCTAGATTGACCCCTGGGGCCTGGCAGCACTATCAGACCCTACTGTGCCAGGATTGGACCCTTGGGACACAGCACTACACCCTCCTGCCCCCTGTGCACTGGGATTGGATACTAGGGACATGGCACTGTCCTTGGCATGCCAGGATTGGGCCCTGGGACTCAGCTCTGTGCGCTGGGTTTGGGTGCTGGACTCTGTGCACAGGACTCCCCACACATTTGGAGATTTGGCAGTGGGAGAGGAATGCTACTTCTCCCCTGCCACCAGACTTCTAGAGACATGCGGAGCCCTGTGGACTGGATGACATATTGCCATGGGCTGGATTTGGCCCGTAGGCTAAAGGCTGATTTTAATAGATTACACGGGGAGCCTGAAACCTGACATACTTAGGCAGTGTTTCTCCAGACTTGCTAGTTGACAATCCTTTAATTGCATTGTAAAATTTTTCTCATCATTACATCCACTATAAAAGTAGGAGTAAAAAAAGAAAATCTGATAATAACAGTCTCTGACATGTGAATGCTTGTGAGAAGCTTTGAGTTTTGAAATTTCAGCATGTAAGGAACAGGCGAAGAAGTTTTTATTTTAGAAAGTTTTACAACTTTCAATTTCAAGGAACCTGGGGGGGGGGGCATGACTCATTGGTTGAGAAGCAGTTTTCCAAGGCAATAGGCAAATCAACAGGCCTTTGTACTCAGTGGGGGTGAAGCCATAAGGAAGTAGTTCCTGGCAAAATTTTAGAGAAGGTCCATAGTAAACAAAGAAGGAGTTCCATGTTGTTAAGCTTCCTGTTCCATCTCTTAACAAGTCTTTCCTTGGGAAGAGAGGACCTCTGAATAGTTGCACGTCCCTTTTGGAGATGACAATACTAAGCAGGCGTTTGAGTTACTTTTTCAGTGTCTTGAGAAGCAAGGAGATGAGTTGATCATGCTTATGTGCTTGATTCAAGGCATGGTTGAAGGAGAAGGGTGCTCAGGCTATCCTGACTTACAAAAGATATGGAGTGGAGTGGGAGTCATTTACCTTGCACTATGCCATTCTTCCTTGGGAGGCATAAACTGCTGAGTTCCCCATGCCGAGTCTGAGAGAGTGGTATGGGGACTGGAAGTTTGGCTGAGCTCTTCTGTCCAGCCCTGTTTTTAAATCTTCCAGACATCGCTCATGTAGTATGTGGTGTTGCAACAGGGTGTCATGAGTTCTGCTCACCTAGAATGCTCCTTGGTTACCATCCTGCCACACTTCCAGAATCTTTCTGTTGAACATAAGTGAGATGGGGATGGCACTTTGACTGTTAAACCTGAAATGAATTTTATGGGACCAAAAACGGTATTTCTTTGCCAAATTTCAAAGGCCTTCTGCAAACAGAGTAGATGTTAGCATTACAAGTATCCCTTACAGTGGGAAGGTGTAAAATAGCCTAAATATTGTAATACTTTCTCCGTACTAAATGCACTGAGGGGCAGAGTGCAAGGTGAGTGGCTGCTGCAAAGTGGCAGAAAATGCTGTTGGACCTAGCTGAAAGGTGCAGTCAATTTACTTGTACTTGCTAAATATAGTGGTTCTTATAGTAAGAAGCATAGTTTGAAGGCTTGAAATAGTGCTTGAGTGCTGCAATCTCAAGTGAAGTGACTTAATGGGTAAGTGGAAAGTATTTCTTTGATCTCTGGCTTTTGTGTCATTTATCTCTTGTGCTTGTTCTCTGAATTTGTAACCTTGCTTAGTTCAACTTCCATTAAATGTAACGGCAGCATGGTTGAAATATGGATCTGTGGAGGGAAGTGCTTTTTATTGTAGAGGGAGGAATGGTGCAGTTAATGGTGAGATATGAAAACTATGAAGCTTCCATTTGTCTAATGAGTGTATTATTATTATTATTATTATTATTATTATTAAAGGGTTGAAAATTTGTATAAAAAAAACAAAAAAACCCAAACCCCAAACAAACCCAAACCCACAGCTGGTTTTACTTTGATGGAAAGCATCCTCCAGTATCCGAAGGAGTTTCTTTCAAAGCTAACTTTAAAGACCATTTTGGTAAGGAAAAACAAACATTGAGTTTAACAGACCTCTCCAAAAGAGTGTGAATTAGTAAAGGCTTTCTCTTTGCAGGATCCAATTACCATCAGTAAGTGGTTAAGATAGGGAACTGATTGCCTTTTTTTCTTTTCACAGCTTGTCTTTTAGTGTGTTTCAATATATTGTCTTGTGCAGTGACATACCGTTCTTACTCTTATTTTGTACATAAGTTTGTAGGTTGTGCAAACTACTTGTAGCAAATGTTTATTTGAATATTGCCCTTTTTCTGTTGGCAATCTTGTCAGATTTTTAGATGTTTAATTTCAAACGCTCGCTTGGTGTCAGAAGTGAACCCTTATGCTGGCCATGTCAGTAAGATGCATTGCTGCATCATTATCTGTACTTGGAACTAATCACAAAACTAATTTTGCCTACAAAATCCCAAAGCTTTTTTGCAAGAAATCTACTGTATTTACTTGACTTCAAGACAACTCTGAATTTAAGATGACCTTCCAATAATTCGATTCTATACATAAACAATTTATAAATTTTCTATATTTTTCTGTGTATAGAATTGAGTTGTTGGAGGGTCATCTTAAAGTAGCCCCCCTTGCCACTGCATGGAGGCAGGTGTTAGGAGGCCAGGTGGTAGAGGGGTAGGCAGTGAGGGAAGGTAGTGGGGTGAGTGTCAAGCAACTTAAACCCTATTTCCCTTTCAGGTGTCCAGTGCTATTTAGCCATTGAGAGCTGACACAAATGATGCTTAGTGTCACTTGCACAGACTTTTAGATCCAATTTCTGCCTTATACTAGATTTGTCCTTCTGAGCATGCTTTGTTGGCCACTTTGCTTCATTGCAGTGCTTTTTCTCCTGAGAATGTGCAAGAAATTATATGAATACCCAAGATTTCAGCTGCCAAGAATCCATCACAAATGACTATTTGATGGGCACTTGCCCAGGAGTGGATGACTAAGGTCTACAGCCTCTTTCAACCTGTTCCATCTGTCTCCCTGCCCTTAGGGGTGTTTGGACTCTCATCTTCCTCTTCACAGTAGAGGTCCTAATGAGCAAGCCAAGGGCTAGCCAGAAATTAGAATACTTTCTACTTGCCTTGCCATGGCTGGCATACTGGGAGCCCTGTCAAAGACAAGCTTTGCTCTGGGGCTCACTGAGATGGGCACGGCCCTAGAAGGCAGAAGGGAGCTGTGCCCGATTTTGATTAAACAAAAAAGGCAAAAACAGGGAAAAAACAAACCCACAAACATGACAGTTCAAGATACAGAAAATTCACTGCATGGACGAGAGTGCTATAATGAAGCTTAAACTGGGTTTGCTACTTTACTTGATTTGTTTTTATCTCACTACAGAGCCAAGCAGTCTATATGCCTGTCTATCTACTCTAATCTGTTTATAAATTTTTAATATATTTTCCAGGAGCTCTTCAGGAGAGTAGCCCGTAGAATAGCCCTGAAAGTCGCACTAAGTTTTACAGCCGTATTGTTTGTGTCATAATTTTAGTCTGATGTGGAATGTCCACTGCTGTCTTCAGTGTTTGGAGATGAAGTGGCAGAATTATGGTAGCTTTAACAATTTTTAACCACTTTTTCAGTAACCACTTCTGCAGCTTGTGAGAAATTGGAGAAAGACCGGAATGAGTTACAAGCTGCTTACGAAGGATTCGTGCAAAAGCTAAATCAGCAACACCAAAATGATCTAGCGGAGCTGGAGGAAAGGCTTAAAGAGTTTTACACTGCTGAGTGTGAGAAATTACAAAGTATCTGCATTGAAGAAGCTGAGAAATATAAAGAGCAACTTCAAAAGCAGGTCAGCATAGGCCGCAGAAATAAATATTATTTGGAGGGGCAGGAAAGGTGGGGATGGAGTGTGGCGCACACATCTGATCCCTGCCCCTCCCTCCCACATGTGGAAGTGGAGTGGCACACTGGGAGCAGTGCTGGGCCAGTGGGATGTGGTAGTGGTGCTGGAGCAATGGAGCTGCACTGGGGGGCCTAAGTCCCATTAGCCCCAGCGTTCTGTCACCTATGCAAGTCAGTGACATTTGATTTAGAAATGTTCCCTGGAGTATAGAGCTGTGGAAGCTTTCTGTGTAGGGGATATTCACATCCCAGTTAGAGGTTTTCTGGCTTATTTGTTGTATACAGGTTTTAAAAAGTGTGTAAAAATTCTTTTCTGTCTACTGTAAGTCAGTCTCCCATCAATCACAGTTTTTGTCTAATAATGGGACCAGTTGAATTGTTAAAGTCCACTTATTCATAACTTATAACATGTTTCCAACTAAAATACGCTTTTCAGATCTTTAAATGAGGGTGCTGAAATCCCATGGTTTGTTATGAATTTGCTACAAATGCATGATGGTTTTGTATCTACGGTAGTTTAAAAGGTGTAGCAGAAAAAAAAATTGGCATCTGAATTCCTTGTTGCCTTCCAGCTCACCAGCCTTAAGCCAGTGTGTAGTGAAACCTGTTTTTGAGCAAGTCCTAAGCATTTTTTCAAATCTACAAAGCACTGCAGATGGTTTATTTTCTTCTGTCTTACACTATTTATTTCTATGTGCTACCTAGACCACATTATATGCCACTTTAGCAGTTATGTGAACAGTGAGGTTATTTTTAGTTTAGTCAGTACATTTGACTTTTATAAAGAGCTGGAGTTGGGGATGTTCCAAATCAGTGGGTTGTTGGCTGACTTTGGCTTTTACTTGAAGATACTTCCCTCTTATTGTTTACTGGGTAAAAAGGCTGCTGCATGTGAATTTACTCTTCACTTTGTCATTTAAAATTCCAATTCTGCGCATGTGAAAGATACTAAAAACAAAATAAACCCTCTTAAAAACTTGCTTTCATATTGCAGGTTGACAATTTAAACATTACACATGAAAACTTTAAGCTAGAACTTGAAACCAGCCACTCAGAAAAAATAGAAGAGCTGAAGAAAGAATATGAATCCTCTTTTTCAGGTAGGTGGTTTTTTCTTTCAAGTAGTGGCAGTAGATAAGCTACACATATAAACATTTCAAGTAAATGTGCCATTTTAATATGCTCTCATTGTTTCTACCAATCAGGAACAGTCTTGATAATCATTAGATGACATTCTTTTGGGACTGAATAGTTTTATTTTATGTTCAAGCCTCTATCTGGGGCTCCCTTGTCATGTTACAGATATTGTGCAGTTAACTAGTTAATTGCATAATTAACTGAGACCAGCTACGCTTGCAAAACACCTGTCACACTGTTTAAAGCTCCAACCAGATATAAAGTTAGACCTCAAAAATGCATGCTCACTTTTATAGCTGGTTGCTATCCAGCTTTTATTTTCATGTGTAGCAAGGAATACATAGTGTGAGAGCAACGTGCAGGCCCTCTGGCATCCCAGGGTGCATTGCTCCATCTCCAGTGTAAGCTTCTTTGGGGAAAGAAAAAAAGAAAAGATAGAGGAGGAAACTCCTGCCCCAACGTAACTCTGAGCACTAAGTTCATTTCCACTATTCAGCAGCACTCTGTAGGGGAAATACACCCCCTTGCTCTCCACCCACTATATGAGCTTGGAGCAGATGAGCTGATACCTGCCCTACCACAGCACATCTGGCTCTCCCGGGAAACAGCAAGCACAGGAGGTGGGAGACGGGAAATATCCCCCAACTTGCCTTCACCCACATGTGAAGCCAGGGACACCCTATTTGGCTGGAGCAGAACCAGTTTACCTTGCCCAGCCACAGTACATCCCTGGTCTCCTGGGCAGCAGCAAACACAGGGGAGGAGGGAGAATTCTGGCCCGTGCTTCCTCTGCCCTCCCCGGCCCAGCACATCAGACTGCAGTCATGGCTGGGCAGGGTACTACAGACTCCTTCCCTGCCCTGGTGTGGGGCAATTGGGGGTTTCCCCTCCCTGCCTTCTGCATGCTGCTGCCTAGGACAGCGATTCTCAACCTTTTCCAACTTTCATCCCACCAGCCATTGGTCCCAAAACCCCTGATCCCACCATGATGATAAGATGAGCTTGGGGAGTCCCCCGGCAGCTAGTTGACAAGCAAACCTGGAAGTGCCGGCAGCAAGTCTGCCACTTCTCCACGTCCCACCTAGATGGCCTTCATGTCCCACCAGTTGAGAAACACTGGCCTAGGAGATCTGGGCTGCCTGTGGCCAGGCAGGGGATATCCCCTGCTCCCTGCACTGGTGGGAGGGATTCCTCCCGACCCTCACCCCAGCTTGCTGCTGTCTGGGAGACCCCAAGCCAGGCAGGATGTCCCCAGCTCAATGTGCCGGTGCGGGGAGCTAAGGAGGGATTTCTCCTCCCCTCTCCCAATTTGCTTCATAGGGAGACTCTGGGGGTCCTTGGTGATGACTCTACTATTAGTAGAGTCATTTTAAATCCTTCAGTGGTACTGCTGACCAGAGAGAACTCCCCCTGCTGGTCAGCAGCAGCAGTGCAAGCTGTTACCCCTTTTTTCTTCCTCCTGACAGCCTGCCCTATGCATAGGTAGCCGTGCACACATTGTGGCCTAGGTCTTCATTGTGCAAGGAAGGTAATGACATGACTGGATTAATGTCTAGAGCCAGCCTGTTAAATAATGGGTATTTATGCTGAGAACTCTTAAAGCAGTCCAAGAGATGTAGAAGCATGCTTTCTCTGTCTTTTTAGCAAATGTCTCTGTCAACTTGACTACTTTCAAAATCTCAAGCTCAGTGACATAATCACTGCTTCTAGTTTTGTTGATATGTGTTAAGGAACCACACAAAACCAACTTTCTTTGAAACTGGATACAGTGAAGACACTTTTAGATCCTTCCAGGTCAGAATGGGAATTTCTCTGGCTGACTCTTCTTCCTGGTAGTAGCTCAGAACCAAGATCTGAAATTCGGTTCCTCCCCTGGGGGGTGGATAGGGGAAAGATGACTGATCAATCTGTAGCTATTCCTTTTAAGGCAACTTGCTGATTCTAAAGACTGTAGCGCATCTTAATTTAGTATGTTTTAGTTGAAGTTGTTCATCCTTACTAGTTTCTATTGACTCAGTTCTTGCTTTCACTGAAATCACTGGTGAAACACCCCTCACATCTAAGGAGCAAGTCCTAAGAAGTCCACTTTCTTACAAAGTGAAAATTAATTCTTCTTTTAGAGATCTCTGAAATATTTGATGAATCAGTTACAGCTGTCTCTGTAGCAGTGTTGTCCTGGTCTGATTTGGCATGCATGTTTATTGTTTGGTTGGCTGCCAGATGATTGCTTAGTGCATATGTTGCATACAGTTCAATACTTTCCAAACTGACATTTCAGTGGGCAATTCACATGTAGTATGGGCGTATGAAGATTGATCAACAAATGCTTAAAAAGCAAACGGACTGCTTATCTGGTTTGCAAGGAGTAATAGCCATTACTAATTTTACTGTTTCCTTACTATTGTTGCATGTACACTTACGATCCTTTGAACTAATGAATCTTCTAAAATATGGGGGGGGGGGGTTGTGCAATAATCTAAAATTCTACAAATGTGGTATTTGTTTCAGAACTCAAGAATGCCCATGAACTGGAAAGGAAATCACTTGAGGCTTCCTTTAGAGAGAAACAGGAATCATTAGAGGTTTGTTTGGGGTTTGCCTGAAAACAAGTCTTTTTGCAACAAGTGGGAGCTACATGATAGATATAAGCACTCAATTACTGGTTTGACCTTTTTGGGTTTTTTGTTTTCCTCAGAAAAAAATAGATGAATTGAAACAGGACAATGACTCTCTGAATGAGAAGTTGAAATTGGAAGATCAAAAACGAATAGCCAAAGAAAAAGCAAATCTTGTAAGTCTTGACCTTGAACACACAAACTTTCAAGTGAACAGCATGACCAAGTGCTGCATGTCTGATTAGCATTCCATGTACTAACTGATTTAATTCACTTTCAGGAAATTACATTGTTGTTCATAACATGGCTCATACTCCTGATGGATCTTCAGCCTTAATGCATTTGCTTTGTTTTCAAAACTAAACAAAAATATTTGAAAGGTTATTTGTTGCAGACGCATAGCCAAGTAATGCCCCAGGGCAGTGCTGGCTGACACTAGGCTGACTTGGTAAATTCTAAAGAGTTACTTTCAGACTCGAAGCAGTGAGGATGAGCTAGACACAGATTTTCCAAGTCTAAATTTCAGTGGCTTTTAAGTTGCATATGCAAAAAAAAAAAAAAAAAAAAAAAAAAAAA